TCCAACAACGTCCAAAAAACGGTTTATAACCGTTTTGGATGGCTTTTAGAACTTTTTAAAAAAGTTGGCCAAGGGGCACTTTTTCAAAAATTCGTATAAAATCAACAGAGTTCCAACAAATGGCGAGAGCTTTAAAACAACGTCCAACAAACTGTCGCCAACAGTATTGGATGGTTTTTGGAACTTTTAAAAAAGTTGTCCAAGTGCATTTTTTCAAAAATTCGTATAAAATAAACAGAAGTCCAACAAATTGCGAGAGCTTTAAAACAACGTCCAACAAACTGTCGCCAACAGTATTGGATGGTTTTTGGAACTTTTAAAAAAGTTGTACAAGTGCATTTTTTTTAAAAATTCGTATAAAATAAACAGACTTCCAACAAATGGCAGGACCTTTCCAACAGCGTCCAAAAAACCATATAGAACCGTTTTGGATGGCTTTTTTAACTTTTAAAAAAAGTTGTTCAAGTGCATTTTTTCAAAAATTCGTATAAAATAAACAGAGTTCCAACAAATGGCAGAACCTTTCCAACAACGTCCAAAAAACGGTTTATAACCGTTTTGGATGGCTTTTAGAACTTTTTAAAAAAGTTGGCCGGGGGGCACTTTTTCAAAAATTCGTATAAAATCAACAGAGTTCCAACAAATGGCGAGAGCTTTAAAACAACGTCCAACAAACTGTCGCCAACAGTATTGGATGGTTTTTGGAACTTTTAAAAAAGTTGTACAAGTGCATTTTTTTTAAAAATTCGTATAAAATAAACAGAGTTCCAACAAATGGCAGGACCTTTCCAACAGCGTCCAAAAAACCATATAGAACCGTTTTGGATGGCTTTTTTAACTTTTAAAAAAAGTTGTTCAAGTGCATTTTTTCAAAAATTCGTATAAAATAAACAGAGTTCCAACAAATGGCAGAACCTTTCCAACAACGTCCAAAAAACGGTTTATAACCGTTTTGGATGGCTTTTAGAACTTTTTAAAAAAGTTGGCCGAGGGGCACTTTTTCAAAAATTCGTATAAAATCAACAGAATTCCAACAAATGGCAGGACCTTTCCAACAGCGTCCAAAAAACCATATAGAACCGTTTTGGATGGCTTTTTTAACTTTTAAAAAAAGTTGTTCAAGTGCATTTTTTCAAAAATTCGTATAAAATAAACAGAGTTCCAACAAATGGCAGAACCTTTCCAACAATGTCCAACAAACCGCGGAGAACAATTTTGTATAGTTTATTATGTTTTTGATTTAATGTTGGCCGTTAGTGTGAACTTAGCGGCGGTTTTCGAAAAATGTTTATAACTTTTTAATGACGGTCCAACAAATTGTAAAACCTTTCCAACAATGTCCAACAAACGTCCAACAAAATTGTTGGATAGGTTTAATTGAAATCTGTTACATGATTGCCGCTAAGTTCACGAACGTTATTAAATCACCACCGGAGCAATCACGGAATTTATTATAATGTGACTACGGCGGCCGTTTTTGGGCATCGTAATAATAATAATAGATACCTCTCTATATATACCACGTCTGTGGCATAAGACTGACGACCGTACACCGTATTTAGGTTACCGAATTCGATTCCCATTGGCCCGAGGACGGACCGGAATGACATTATTATAATATTTTTAGCAGTCTTTTTTTTTTTGGCCAATACAATATGTTACGCATAGTTAACCTTGAAACTTATTTTTCATTTTGGACTTATTCTTCTTCTCGTTTCTGTTCATATTTTATTATTACATAAACTGCATATAATAATAATAATATGTATTATTATAACATGATAATATTATACATAAGCACAATAGAAGTGGGCAACTATAGGTAACAGCGCTGCTGTACAGTTGGAGTCTAGTGTACCTCGACATTATGTAAATCACTGTACTGAATATGTGTACGATAAAGCTTTCTTTGAAATTTTTTTGAGAAAACCTTACATGGTACCTTATATTAAACTATGAAACTTGAGGTAAGTATACCTAATAACAATTATATACAAATATTCATGATTTTGTTGATTTTAATTCAAACGCTCAAATAACTATCGTGGATTTACAGTCAAGTTTTTTTTAATTCCATTATTAAGAACTTATGAGGAATATATTACATTTTTATGTATTTTGACCAATAGCTTCAACTTTTTTATCGGCATCTATGAAAAAACAAACAAAAATCAATTGAAAATTTCGAATGTCTATAAATAGCTAAAACAAAAGAGTCAAAATATTTTTTAAACTATACGATAAACAGAAAATTATAATATTATATAACATTATAATGGGTAAAATTGTTAAGCATCTACGATTATTCGTTTTCAAATTACAAAATAGGAAAATCCATCAAAACCGTATTTGAGTGAAAAATCCAGTTTTTACTATTAGATTCTGAGTGGAGCGATGAATGTATTGATTTTACAATGATGTGTGTTTTTTTTTTATTTTTTTATTTTTTAATTTTTTAATTTTTTTTTTGTGTCTGTCATCACCTTTTAGGACAGTAAAAGTGCTTGGATTTTCTTCAACAGTATCTTTTCTGATAGGAAAGTGAATCTAGTTGGTACTTTAGGGGGGTCAAAAGTGAAAATTTCCCTAAACAGTTCAAAATAAATTAAAATACTTTGAAAATGTTATCGTGTATAGAAAATGCAAATATAAACAACCAGTGAGAATTTCACTTATCTACGGTAATTTGTTTTAAAGTTACACCAAAAACCAAAATCGATTTTCATCTATGCGCAGTTTATGCTGTCGCCTATGACTATTCGCTAAGCAACAGAACAGCATTGTTAATATTTAGAATTCTATTCTTTTCTCGTCATAATTATAAAGGTATTGATATATTTATATAAAAGTTGTAAATTTTGAATTTACCAAAATCTCTCATTGTAATAAAATGAATGACCACCATCCTGAACTAATTAAAAGTGAAAAATTGATGGATGAAAATGAACTACAACTTCAAAGTGTTTCATCAGATACAATGGAAGAAACAAAAACATGTTTGGAAGACAGAATGATACGGGAGAAAAACCTAAAAATACTAACCTTAGCTAATATCGAAAAAGAAAAAACTAGATGTTTATTAAGAGGGTTAAGAGAAGAGTTGGAACAAGTTCTAGCAAGGAACAAGTTACTACCAGAACAATTGCAATTTTCTGATGACTATTTTCAATTAGATGAACGAATCCATAATTCAATTATTGAAAAAGAACGATCGAAAATGGATGAATTAAAGTTAAAACTAGCATTCGATTACGAAAAGAGCTTAATAGGTTTTCAAAAAGTCAAAAATTATTTCGTTGCTAACATTTTAACCGACAACTTTGAAGTTAAAGCAATTTTGTATGGAATTTCTTTTAACGGATTTTTTTATATTTTATTATTTTCTATACTTATATTTTAATTTTGATATTTACAGGACAGATGTAGGAGTCAAATCAATATACCACGAAACGCAACCTAATAATATATTTGAAAGTTTAGTAAATGAGTTTATATCTAAGAAACATCCGAAACGACGGTAAGTAGGTAGTTAACAATTTATATTGTATTGTTATCTATTTTTTTTGGTGCATCCAAATTGCATGCCAAAAAAATAAATATAAATTGGAATGTCCATATTACATGCCGTCTCTTGGAGGGATCTATCCGAACTGCATGCCATCTCTTAAAGGGATATGTCCGAATAAAATAACCAAATAACTTATTATTCCACTGAAGGAACGGGCTTTTGTTACATTACAATAAAATATATAAATATTGTAGAAAGTGACCCTGTGAAATGTGAATAATAAATATTAAATACAACTATTGTAGCTTAGGGTAATCAAGTGAATGTATCTTTACATAGTATTTCAAATAAATAATATTATTTTAAAATTTGGTGGGTTTTATTTTGACATTTCGGGAGCACTATATTACAATTTCAATATACAATATATTATATTTGGGACGGAGTGGCCAAGTGGACTAAGGCGTTGGTTGCGACGTGCACCATCGCCGGTTCAAACTCGGCCACGGGTGGCATTTTTCTTCAGGCAGTCGCGGTGTCTGGAAAGAGATGCTTGGTGGCCTCACCCGGGCTTGGCAGATACCTACGGGTGCCCACTTAAAAATTCTGCCAAAACAAACACACACATGTTCAAATCCTACAGTACCCCCTCTTTTTTTTTTTTTTTTTAGGAAAGTGCAAAAAAAGTGGTTCACGGCGGGACCCTCTAAGTCCTAAGAGATGGTATGCAATTTGGATGCAGACTTTTTTAAAATTTTTTTTTTTTATGATCTCCAAAGAATTCTGAAGTTGTAATATATTTTTATCCGTTGTACACATTTAACATTTAATTGGCTTAGATATGTGATCATAATTTTCTTTTTAATAATTAAACACAAAATAGTATTTTCTTGACTAACTAATAAATGTATACGCTGCAGCTAAGTCTATAAAGGAAACAATAGTCCCAGACTTTGCAAGGTCTTTACAATTTTTAGTTTAGTGTGTCAGTAAAAATAGCAAATAATCTAAATTATATTTAAATTAATTAGTACTACCTATTATTATGTTTATGTAGAAAACGGGAAATGACAGTTGTAAACAGACCTACTCCCAATCTCATACTTGGGGTTTCAGAAACAGATATATTTCTTCAAAATGTACGAGAAAAGTATTCGTCTTTACCAAAGAAAATTCAGTTTGCCATTGATAAGTTTGCTGCAAGAAAAGATTTTGAAAATCGGCAAATTCTTGAAATTCAAGACATGCATAAAAATAAGCCAGGTGAAGATAATAATATCGAAGAAGAGGCATTACTAGAATATACTATGGATTCTATTGGTTATTTGAACTTAAAATCAGGATCAAATTTTAAAGTGACTGAATATTCAATAATTAAAATGGAAGATACGTTTGAAAATTACGACGAAATTAAAAAGAAGGTTAATTTTCCATTATTTAAAATATTTATAAATATATTTTTATAATTTATAGTCTATTATAGATACGCATTATGAAAAAAACTTTTAATGAAAAAGTTTCCAATCTCAGAACACAAAAAATAAAATTAATACACGAATACAAACAATTCAAGTTTGATATTAATATGATACAAAAGGAGTTAAATGATCCAGAAATAATAACGCCATCAGATTTCCCTGAAGTCCTAATGGATGAATCTATTGATGTAAGAAATATACTCCATAAAGCTGTAGTAAAATATTATTATTATAAAATTTTTGCATTATTACTTTTTAATTTTTATAGAGTCCTCCTCTTAGCTATAACCATGGTTAGGTTATAAAGTATAAATTCTATAGTTACCATCCATGATCCATCTTAAGTATCAAAGTTTCTTTATGCTTTTAATACTCAGTATGCAGTTAAATAGTTGTGTCCCATAATAAAAGACGCGTGCATGAGTTGTGTAATGAACAATGTCGAATTTTAAAAATATATATATAATTTTAAAAATTAATATTAATTATAAAACCTATAAAATTTAAAAATCGATTTTATGCTACCACTGATATTATATAGCGGTAAAATTGGGAAGTCCGGTGGAAAATACTCGATGAGATGTTACAATGATATAATATTAATAATGGGGGATAGAGTGGCTGAGCGGTCTAATGCGTCGGTTTCGACGCAGCCGATGCCGGTTCGATCCCCGGCCACGGGCGTCATTTTTCTTCGGGCAAGTCGCGGTGTCCGGAGAAGAAGTGCCGCCATCCCCCACCCGGGCATATCAGATACCTACGGATGCCCACTAAAAAATCTACCAAACACACAAGTGTTCCATACCCTACAGTTCCACAGGCTAATAACCTCAGTAGTTGAAGCCTCAACCCCCAAAAATAAATAAATCAATAAATAAATAATAATCGTATGATGTTATAGTGGTTTAAATACTTTAGTACCTACTACATAATATTGTATTTGTAGCACACACATTTAAGTCCTCAGATACCTACAGGAAATACGTACATATCTATCTATAATTGCTTATTTTTTCTATAATTGTATTTCAGCCTAACTTAATTGATTCGTTTGAACCGATTTATCACTGTGATCGGATGGATTTGATTTTTAATCCCGAATTAAGCCCTTTGTATAAAAATGCATATTTTTACGAAGAGCCTACTCATGAAGAAATCATTATGCGACAAATGAGAATTGATAAACTAAAATATAGACATATGCATTTGCATGAAACAATGTTAAAGAAAATCAAAATGTTTGATGACAATCTGTTTAAATTGAATAAAATGCGAATAGAAGTTAAACTTGAGATTATATTTCTTGATTTACGGGCTACGACGTTAGAAGAAGAAATGTTAGTTTTGTATGATTTTGATTTACTTGAAGATGATCTTTCGTACAATGTACATATTAAAATGGGAGAACAAAATGAAAAAGCTCAACAAGTAATATTTTGTAATAAATGGATACCTACCTATCAATTAAGTATTGATTAAATAAAAATTGTAATACCTACTAATAGATACTAAGAATTCATGAAGATATCAAATATTTTAATGATATTAATATAAAACAAAAAAATATGCTAATAGAAAATCAACATACTTTTGATATGTGTCTGAAATTGGAGAATAGTGGTTTTGCTAAACATCTTAAAAAAATTTTCGATAAAAAATTAAAAATACCCAAAATTCAATCACATGATGATGATGGTAACATAATACATTAATTCATTATTTATTTTTTATATTCTTAACAGCATCATTTCCCACGCAGCCATATTAGTTATCGATTTTTCATGAGCATACATTTTTGTTATAGATACTTCATCGTCTTCATCCAGCGAAAGTGAAGAATCTGAATCAGAATTTAATAACGAAAGTGGAGAATCCTTAATGGCAATGAGTCGAGTACCAGTAGTATTTGATGAAAAAGTATTACCAACAGGCTGTGATCCAAAATTATTTAATACAACATTAGAGTTGAGAGATAAAAAATATAAAATTGAACAAACCATAGAGGATAATAAAAGAAGATTGGACGCCAGTAGTACAAATCTGACTTCAACTTACGTAGAACTTGATTTTATTGAAGATGAATTAAAACAAATTCAAAATAAACTAGAAGCATGTCAGGTTAGAATTATAATTTAACAATTAAACATATAAGCTATTTTAAGTCCACTGCACATCATCTGTGTATTCACATCTGAAAGAATAGGTACCTACACCTACCTACCTACCTATCTACCTACAACCTTCCTAGTAAATATGACATAGCTAATCGATAATATTGAATTGAGTCCTAAATATTGAATGAAGTCATACGGTAACTTTTTGATCGTCGGAATCGAATCAAACAAGACGTATTCTTATTTAGTAGTAATTTTACCCTGATCTATAAGACACCATTTGGAGTTTGGCCTAGTAGACGCCTAAATGTGTACCTATACTTATTTGGATAGGTACATTACACTACGTTCCTACCGATTGGATATAATATACACTGTTTATAAACGATAAAAAAACAACAGCTTTCCTTTTAACACAGTTAATAATCTTATGAATAGTAAGCAATTTTTTGTCACACACTTTTTGAATGTGTTCATTTAAATTTTCTAAGATCACATTATTTGAGGATTGCCACATTCGTCTGGACATCTTCACTCGTTAGTCGTTATCACCATTTATAAATTAATGTTACAAAAATAAAATTGGGAGTTTATTCTTCTAGGTGAAGACTATTTTTGAGTCTTACCTATTGATTGTGTACTGATTTGTACACTGTAGGTAAGTACATGAGTATACTTGTAGTATACTCAAGTATCTATGAACCTATGTTAGTATAAATGTTATATTTTTGATGATAATTAAAAATATAATTTCATTTATTTAATTAGGTACCTATAATGGTGGACTTATAGATTTTTATGATTATTTAAATTATAGATAAAAAAACAAATGAAACTAAATGATGTTTATACCACGATTGTACTACATAAATCTCAAATGACTAAAGCTAAATTATTGAAAAGTAGTATCTTATTATATGGAAATGTTATACAAGATCTATCAAATAGAGCAGCGGAATTAAAAAAAGAGGAAAAAGAGATAATAAACATTTTACAAAAAGAAAAGTTATGTGCAAAAAAGGATCGCATTGAAATAGCCAAAATGGAGAAGGATTTGAGAAATATTAAAATAGCCATTAAAGATGAAATGATAAATAAATTTAAAACTGTAATGAATTGGAATTCTTTAGACAAAATGGAAATGACCATCATCGATTACATGATTATTAAATCTAAGACTGAAGCAAAAGATTCAAAGGAACGTTTTATTCGAGAAATACAAATATTAGAAGTATTATATAATATTAAAAAATAGCCGTTTAGACCGTTTAAGATACATTTTAAGTTGGTAGTATTTTATAAATTGTTTTATTTCAGAATAAAATTAGTTCACAACGGGATTCAGTAACTGACTTATACTTATCAAATACTCGTCGAAATAAATTATTAGCAAATGTTCTTGAAAACATTAATAAAATAAGACATTATTTGGATATGGACCAAGAAAGAATTACGGTATTTATAATATTGTTTTGTTATACTCGTAACGTGATAAATTTATAAAGGGGGGGGGGGTTGTTACAAATAATTTTGATTATTATTATATAATTATATAATAATTGAAACAAATAATGTTTCGGGTACACAAAATATATTATAAACATTTAACTAAAAAATTATTTACTGGTGGTAGGGTAAGCAAAATTCTCCCATAACCCCTCCCCCACATTATACGGCGATGTAGCTCACATATTCAGTATCGACATTTTTAATTAATTAAAATGTTATCATAAAAATATGATAATAAATAATATTTTTATGTACCAATATACAAAACATAATTTAAAAACCAACAGTAGTAAATAATAATAATTTAATTTATAATTTATAGAAAAATTTTCAAAATTTATCCCTGGAATCACCAATTACTACTGAAATAACTACCATGAACTGCATATATGATGAATTAATTATTAAAGAAGAAACAAGCCATTTGTGAACAACTAGACATGCATAAATTAAAATGCAAAACATTCTCAACTCCTACAATACAATAATATAGGCCAAAGACGATACAAAGTCAGGCAATTGATGATCATGCCTGCTATACAAGAGAAAAGCGAAGAACTGATTTAAATACTTTGAAAAAACCCTTTATTTTAATAATTATTTAGTATTTAATAATAAAATACGTTCTTCGTAAGTATTTGACTTAAAAACACATAGGTAGGTATAGTTACAGAATAATACAATTTACAAATCTAAATATTTATATTAAAACATGGAAACTTAGTCAACATAATAATTAATAGGTACCTATATAAAATGTACATGCGCTAACTAACCAAATCATTATATTACATGATCTCGCCCACTATGTAGATAAATAAAAATGAAATGGTAGGTAGTTACAGTGGAGGACTGGGCCTCCAGGAAGCTGAGAAAATTCCCAGTGGACCTCTGTTCTTATTTGAATATAGATAACTACTACTTAGATATATCATACTATGCTGTACCAATACGAATATTGTGATATTTACAGTTATTCGTTTTTGAATTACAACAAAATAAGAAAATCATTCCATGACTCCAGTGGCGTAGCCAGGATTATGAAATGGGGGGTGTTTAAGTATAGATTAAAACCAAGTTTTTACAGTTTACGAATATAAATAAATTTTGACTTGTTGCACTAAAAATTATCGAAATATGCTTAAATATATGCAGCTACATTTTTATATTATTTTTGAAAAATTCATAAAACATACTAAAATGTTGGTATTATAGGTTAATAAATAAGTAATAACCAATAACGCGATACGTGAACACCTTAATAAACGAACACGTACCTACTGATTTTCATTTCTTCGTATAATCTAGAATCTAGATGTCAATTATAGTATTAACATAGTCTTTTCATAAAGAGACTCATATATAGACTTATGTTACGTACCATATGCGAAAATAGGGCCAACCGTAGCCAAGCTCCACCAACAACTTTAACAAGCAACAGCCCTCCAAAACATTTACTTAAATTTTTTAAGCTTATTCAATTTTATAATAGTATGGTTTTAGGCTACGGCCTCCCCAAATCTCAAAATTAGCGCCTATATTGTACCTAACCAAACATAATATTTTTAAAGATATTTTTAAATGTTATCCAAATATGATTTTTCCCGACAATTGTATGTACATTTAAGTTAAAAAAATGCAAAATATGTGAAAAATCGCTCAAATGTACACTTTTCCTAAAATATGCAAATTTTGTTTGATAAGACATAAAAAATTTCTTAAGACAAATTTATAACTTATCTAAAATAATCCACGACAACTACAATAAAACATGCAAGCAGTCCCGAACAATATAAACAATAATATTTATTAGCGGGGAAAATTTCAATGGGGGGTGTTTAAACACCCAAAACCCCCCCTTGGCTACGCCACTGCATGACTCATGATCGTTATAGTTAATAGGTGAATATCAAATATAAAAAAAAAATCAAATTTCAAAAGATCATAAAAAATGGATTTCTCTTTTAGGCTATCCACCGATTAAGAACGTTATACTTTTTTGGCTGAACGATTAAGAATACTTAAAATTAACAAAGAACTTACAGCTGACCCAAAATAAACAAATAAAAGAATGCGATTGAGAACGAATTGCCATATAATTTATTTGGCTATTGGAAGATTCAGTAGGTAATATACCTATAGGTACCTAAAACAAATGTTCTTGAAAAAAGTCATAAATTAATAATTATAATTGTATATATATATATATATATATAAATATGGGCGCCTATTAATAGGTAAATGATATTATATTATTGAATTCAAGTTTAATACAATCTATTATACAATGACCCACTTGCAACCTACAGTACAGCAGATCGACACATCCACTTAATCATTTATTATTTTTATTTTTTTGTGTCTGTCATCACGGTTTGGGGCAGTAAAACTGCTTCGATTTTCTTCCCAATAGTTTTTAAAAGCGCCGTGAAAAACAAAAGAAAAATTAAGGAAAAACGGGAATTTTTACGCAAAATCTGTTTTCGAGAAAATCGATTTTGGTTTTTGGTGTAACTTTAAAACAAATGACCGTAGGAACATGAAATTTTCACTGGTTGTTTATATTTGCATTTTCTATACACGATAACATTTTCAAAGTATTTTAATATATTTTGAACTGTTTAGGGACATTTTCAGGTTCCAATTTTATTAGTTTTTTTTTTATGAATATCAATTAAAATTTATTAGTTGGTTAAAAAAGCTTGAAAATTTAATATAGGGCATCTAGTATATTGTTTCAAAGGCAGATAAAAAATATTAAAATTCCTTAGTCACAGATTTTTTTTATAAGCATTGAAAGTCCAAAAATTGACAAAATAAAATCACGAAAATTAGAAAATTATTTTGAGTTAAGAATTCGTAAAAAATTTTCTTTTTAAATCTAAGATTTTAAAATGTGATACAAGATTCCTTATATGATTATCTACCTTTGTCAAGAAATAAATGTCTACAAGAAAGTCAAATTAAATTTTTATGAGTGTTTGAAATTCAAATTTTTACAATATTGGATATTCACTCGATTTCTCATGTAGCGATTTCCTTATTTTGTTGTAATTCAAAAACGAATGACTGTAGATACATGCAGATACAAGGCTCCTGATATATTGTTACAATATCAGTTGAAAAATATTAAAAATACATAGGCACAATTTTTTTTTATATGCATTTAAAGATCGAATTTTGACAAAATTTATCAAATTTAAAATGAATAATTATTTTGTAGTTAAAATTTTATAAAATGTTCAACTTTTATATCTAAGGATTGAAAATTTAAAACAAGATACCACTTAAGTAGTTTATTCTGTTACCAAAAAATCTAAAAATACATACTCACAGTTAGTTTTTTTTTATAGTCATTTTAAGTTCAAATTTGGATGAAAGTTGTAATATAAATAAATGAATGCAGAGACAAGTATTTGCTTCAAATATAATATTATCTTTTGTTTATTGACAATATTGTTCAATGTAGTTATTAAGTGACAATATTTTCTTTTATATATGATTTTAATTGCATTAAGCAATGTACATTTAAAAATACGTTTAGCAAGGATAAATTTGACAAAATACAAGGTAGTAGTATTGGACTCACGGATACTGCTTGGAAACTGTCACTGTAATGTCCAACTGAGCTGCTTGTTGCGGGTAGTCCGAAATGGTCGTTCACTTAGACGATGTATTAGCAGTTGTGCGAAAGTAAACGGTTAGGTAGGTAAAACTATTGATTACTACCGTATCAATATGTTTACCGTGTGTTTACGTATGAAAATCGACGTTCCAACACTGTGAATCGATCGGAAATATTATCACGGTTTCAACTATGTAACGCTGTTTCTCGATCGGCGGTTCTTTATGCTCGGTCGAGACTGCAACGCAGTTTCTCGATCGGCAGTTCAAACACAATAACGTTTTTCTTGACCGGACTGTCTGTGCTTCCGTTGGTTACGGTAAACACCAGTGTCAAGAAAGGGTAGCGGCGGCGAAAAACAACGTTTGGCAGCGGCGAAATATTAATCGGCGATTCTTGCCCGGTCTGTATGTGCTTTCGTTTGGTAACGATAAACACCAGCGGCAAGAGAGCGCGGCGGCGGAAAACAACGTTCGGCAGCGGCGAAATAAAGAAACGACTTTTCTTACCAGGACTGTCTGTGCTTCCGTTCGATAACGGTAAACACCAGCGGTAAGAAAGAGCGGCGGCGGAAAACAACGTTCGGCAGCGGCGAAATAAATAAACGACTTTTCTTACCCGGACTGTCTGTGCTTCCGTTTGATAACGGTAAACACCAGCGGTAAGAAAGAGCGGCGGCGGAACGAACGACTTTTCTTACCCGGACTGTCTGTGCTTCCGTTTGATAACGGTAAACACCAGCGGCAAGAAAGTGCGGCGGCGGAATGAAGTAAGTCGCACTGTTTGTGCTTCCGTGAATACGGTAAACACCAGATACGACTACTAGCGGAGAGAGAGTAGTATTTTTTTGCCGGTTCACCGGGGTCTATTTACTACATGTGATGACTACTGCTGGTTTTGAGATCATAGACTTCGGTGGGTAGCATTTTGTTGACCTTTGATGGTTCTACATCTGCGGGTGGTCTCGTGAATCAAAGGTGTGCATCCGGGGACATTTTCTTATTAGTAGTGGGACGAAACTTACTTGTAAGTTTCGTTTTTTCATCCGTAAATGTCGCTGGAACGTGTCGTTCAAAACGGTAGGCGAGTACCGCGACATCTAGTGTGTCTTACTTGCGCCTGCTGCGTACGAAACTGTGTGTGATAGTTCCGGCGTGGTCTGCGGGCGGCGCGTCGATAGCGAGTCCACACGCTATTGTGAGAAAAAAAATAACATAGTCCATTCTGTCTCGTTACATAGTCCCCTTTTTTATTTAGCAATTTTTTTTTTTTTTTTTTTTTTTTTTTTTCTTTGAAAATTGATAAATGAAAATTTTGTAGTAGAGAGACGGGATTTTTAAAATTTGCGAGACTTGGTACGGCTTTAGTGCGTTGAGTGGTGTGGTCGTCTTTGACGACGGATGTCACGTCTGTTCTGCTTGTATTGTTCCTTTTTCCGTTGATTATTGCTCATGGGTTTGTTACTGTCGTGTGGGTCGGTCTTATTTGCCTCCACAACTGGTGTTGCAATCAAGATCTGCTTGGCACTGGTAGATGGACCGGACTTGTCTATTTCTACAGCTGGCGTTGCATTTAGGATCGGCTTGGCCCGAACTGACGTAGGTATAGTGAATGTGGGCTCGAGGGTGTACTGTGTGAGTTTGGCGGCACTCTCTCTCTCATATTTGGCCTGGGCTTTCTTCATAGCAATTGGTGAGGTGGTTTGTTCGATCTGCTGGATAGATATTTCCCTCTGGTACTCACTATCCAGAGACAAATATTCGCTGCCGAACAACTCGATGAATTCCATGTCATCATAGTCTTCT